GAATCGTGTGGCTGTTGGTTGTTTTAAATTCCCTTGTACTTTTTCATTGTAGTTCTTGTGTTTCCCTTCCCCTCCCCCTGGGTTTGTGCGCCGCCCTGAGTCCCGCCGGGAATAGGGCGACATATAAATAAAATGAACCTTGAACCTTGAAGAGCCTAATGCTAGGAAAGATGGAGGGCAAAAGAAGAAGGGGACGGCAGAGAAGGAGGTGGCTGGATGGAGTCACCAAAGCAGTCAGCGTGAATGGACTCCAGAGGATGGTAGAGGACAGGAAGGCCTGGAGGAACATTGTCCATGGGGTTGTGATTGGTTGAACATGACTTTGCAACGAACCACAAGAATAGTATAGAACAGAACAGAACATCATGGACGGAATGGAATGGAATAGAATAGAATTCTTTATTGGGCAAGTGTGATTGGACACAGGAGGAATTTGTCTTCGGTGCACAAGCTCTCGTACATAAAAACTATAAGTGATAACTCACAATCATAGTCCTTATAAAAAATACATCATAAATCATAAGATATAAAACACAGGGATAACTACAACACTTAATGATAGATAGATAATACCAAAGAGTTGGCTCATGAAGACAGCATTGCAAAATAATTTCCCCCCCAAATCATGAAAAGGTGGCATCTGATGGAGGAAACTCCACATCCATCTTTGCCCATTGGCTCAATAAATGCATCCCCACCCCCTTATGTACCAACAAAACAGTATCTAAATTGCAATTAGGATAATGCTGAGTGACAGATTTTTTTTTTTTGCACAGATCTGCCTCTGGGTATTTAGTTCAGAATCCATTGATTTTTTTAAAAAAAAAAATCTGTTTTATCTAGGTTGACCTTAAAAATCATAGTGTCTGTCCTATGAGAAAGGAAATCAGGAGGCCTGTTGTACTCACTGTTTTACATCTCCCCCCCTCCTCTCTTTTCTCCATACAAGGAAAACAGTTTGACCACTATCCCCAATTGTCTTGCATGATTAATTACAGCATCTGTCCTGTCAGAAGCTATAATGAAGAGGTCTTGATAAAAATTGCAAATTACCACTGGCAAACCATCTTTAAACTGCTTACGATAAAATGGAAAAACAGCGAAATCGGGAACCTGAGTAGAATCCTAATCGGGAGGAGAATAACAGCAGATAGATGCAACGTTCAGGGCTCATGCCCTCAAAATGAAATTCACAAGGCTTTAAAGCTGCTGTCCGTCCAGAAATATTACATGGTGTTCCCCAAACGTGACTTCTGTGGAGCTTTTAAATAATGTTGGGAGAAAGAACATAGACTGTGCAGGAAATTTCTATTAACGTGCATTACAGGGTGGCTTGCAGATTTGAGTCGATTGCATTTTATTCCCAGCGAAATCAATAGGCTTAAAGCAGAATAGGAATAGAATAGAATAGAAAATCTACAAGAACAGCAAATCTAGACAGCATACTAAAAAGCAGAGACATCACCCTGCCAACAAAAGTGTGCATAGTCAAGGCTATGGTTTTCTCAGTTGCAATTGATGGCTGGGAAGGCTGAACCATAAGAAAAGCTGAGCACCAAAGAATGGAGGCCTTTGAACTATGGTGCTGGAGAAGATGCTGGAGAAGACTCCTGCGAGTCCCTTGGACTAAGGTGATCAAACCGGTCAGTCCTAGAGGACATCAACCCTGACTGCTCTTTAGAAGGCCAGATCCTGAAGATGAA